GGAGACTAACTTGAAATGTAAACTTCATTTTATTACAACAATTTAAAAAAAAAAAAGACTTCATTTCTCCTACTGGCTGAGTAGTATTCCATTGTATGTATGTACCACATTTTGTTTATCCATTCATCAGCTGATGGTCATTTAAGTTGTTTCCATCTTTCCTCTACTGTGAGTAATGCTGCAGTGAACATTGGTGTGCAAGTCACTTTTTGAGTATCTGCTTTCCAGTCTTTTGGGTATTTACCAAGAGTGGAATTGTTGGGTCATATGATAGCTCTATGTTTAGTTTTTTGAGGCACTGCCACACTGTTTTATACAATGGTTGTACCATTTTGCCTTCCCACCAGCAATGGATAAGGGTTCCAATTTCCGCACATCCTCACCAACTTTTGTTATTTTCTGGTGTTTTTTTTTTTTTTTCCCTTAGCCATCCTAGTGGGAATGAAATGGTATCTCATTATGGTTTTGATTTGCATCTCTCTGATGACTAATGATGCTGAGCATCTTTTCATGTGTTTGGTGGCCGTTTGAGTGTCCTCTTTGATGAAATATCCAAGTCCTTTGCCCATTTTATGTTCGGGTTATTTGTCTTTTTGTTGTTGAGTTGTTGAAGTTTTATATATATTTTGGTTATTAGACTCTTGTGGAATATGTGGTTTCCGAAGATATTCTCCTAGTCAGTAGTTTTGTCTTTTCACTTTTTTCGTTAAGTCTTTTGATGAACAAAACTTAATTTTTATGAGATCCGAATGGTTTATTTTGTCATTTTGCTGTATGTGTTTTTACTGTTACGTTAGATAATTCATTGTTAAAAGTTAGACCTGACAGTTTTCCCCTGCTTTTTTTCTAAGAATTTTATTGTTTTCATTTGCACATTTAGGTCCTTAATCCATTTTGAATTTGTTTTTGTATTTTGTGAGAGGCATGGATCCTGTTTCATTTTTCTGCATGTGGAAGTTCAGTTTTCCCAGCACCATTTATTGAAGAGACTCTTCTTTCCCCATCGAGTGGGCTTCGCACCCTTGTCAAAATTCAGTTGACCATGGACGTGTGGGCTTATTTCTGGACTCTAAATTCTATTCCATTGGTCTTTGTGTCTGTTTTTTCACCAGTACGAGGTTGTTTTGATTACTGTGACTGCATAATATGTTTTAGAATCAAAATATGAGTCCTCCTACTTTGTTCTTCTCTTTCAAGATTGCTTTAGCTATTCGGGGCCGCTTACTGTTGTATATAAAGTTGAGGGTTGGTTTTTCTGGTTTTGTAAAGAAGGCTGTTGGAGTTTTGATCAGGACTGTGTTGAATCTATACAGTGCTTTGGGTAGCATCGTCAACTTAACAGTATTAAGTTTTCCAGTCCGTGAACACGGAAGATCTTTCCATTTAAGTCTTCTTTAATCTCTTTCAGCAGTGTTTTATAGTTTTCTCTGTATAAATCCTTTATGTCCATGGTTAGATTTATTCCTAGGTATTAAGATGTTGTTGTAAATGGAATTGTTTCCTTAATTTCCCTTTCAGATTTGTCATTGCAGGTGCACAGAAACCCAACTGATTTTTGTTTGTTGGTCTCGTACCCTGCAGTCTTAATATAAATTTCTCTATTAGCTCTAGAAACTTTCTTGTGGACTCTTTGGGATTTTCTTTATATAGGATCATATCCTCCATGAATACAGATAATTCTACTTCTTCTTTTCCAACCTGAATACCTTTTATTTCTTTTTCTTGTGTTATTGCTCTGGCTAGGACATCTAATACAATACTGAGTTTAAGTGATGAGAGCGTGCAGCCTTGTCTTGTTCCTGATTTTAAAGGGAAAGTTCTCAGTCTTTCTCCATTAAGTATAATGTTGGCTGCTGACTTTTCATATGTGCCCTGAGTCATACTGAGGAATTTCTCTTCTATTCCAATCTTCTTTAGGATTTTCATCAAGAAAGTGTGTTGGATTTTATCATATGCTTTTTCTACATCCATAGAGATGGCAATGTGGTTCTTTTCCTTTGTTCTGTTGATGTGGTATATTATGTTGATAGATTTTCTAATGTTTGTTGCTTTTCAGTTGTTCATAATATTCTGTCATAGTTCTCTTTATTTCTATCAGGTTAGTTGTAATGTCCCTGCTTTCATTTTTTATTTTTGTTATTTGCATCTTTTCTTTGTTAGTCTAGCTAAAGGTTTGTCAGTTTTATTGATCTTTTCAAATAATGAACTTCTGGTTTCATTGATTCTATTTTTTCTCTTTTCAATTTTATTTATTTAAGCTCTGATTTTGTTATTTCCTTTTTTCTGGTAGATTTAGCTTAGTTTGCTCTTCTCTTTCTAGTTCCTGGAGTTGTCAAGTTAGGCTGATGATTTGAGATCTTTCTTCTTTCATATGTTGGCATTTATTGCTGTAGGTTTCCCTCTGAGTACTGCCTTTGCTGCATAAGTTTTGGTATGTTGTGCTTTCATTTTCATTTGACTCTAGGAAATTTGTGATTTCCCTCTTCACCCATTAGTAGTTTAATGATGTGTTGTTCAATTTCCAGATGTTTGTATATTTTCCAGGTTTTTTTTTTTCTTTTTTTCTGTTACTTATTTCTAGCTTCACTTCATTGTGGTCAGAGAAGATACTTTGTATGATTTCATTCTTTTTAAATTTATCAAGACTTGCTTTATGACCCAAAATGTGATCTGTCCTGGAGCGTGATCCATGTGCACTGGAGTAGAATGTATATTGTGTTGTTTTGGGGTGGAGGGTTCCGTATATGTCTGTTAAGTCTAGTTGGTTTATAGTGTCATTCAGGTCCTGTATTTTCTTTGTTAACCTTCTTTCTAGGTGTTTTGTCCAATATTGAAAGTGGTGTATTGTAGTTTCCATCTATTATTGTAGTGCTATTTCTTCCTTCAATTCTATCAGTGTTTGCTTTATACAGTTAGGTGCCATGATGTTGGGTGCATATATATTTATGATTGTTAAATTTTCCTGATTGATTGACCCTTTTATCACTATATAATGTTCACTTTATCTCTTCTGGCAGATTTTGTTTTAACGTCTACTTTGTCTGATACTATGATTGCCAACCCTGCCCTGTTTTGGTTATTACTTGCATGGAATGTATTTTTTCCATCCGTTCACTTTCAGCCTATTTGTGTCCTGGGGTTTAAGGTGTGTCTTGTAAACAGCGTGTAGCTGAATGATATTTTTATATCCATTCTGCCACTCTCTGCCTTTTGATTGGAGCATTTAGTCTATTTACATTCAGTTTAATTACTGATAAGAATTGACTTACTTCTACCATTTTATACTTGTTGTTTTGTGTGTCTTAAGCTTTCTTTGTATTTATCCATTACTATTGCTTGCTTTTGTGTTTTGTTGATTTATTGTAGTGAGCCTTTTTGATTCCCTTCGTCTTTCCTTTTGTGTTATGTTTTTTATATATTTTCTTAGTGGTTACTATGATTATTAAATTTAACAGCTTGTATTTATAACATTCTAGGGTAAGATGGTACCAACTTAACTTCAGTGACGTATGAGAAATTCAGTATCTATATCATTCCTCCGCCTTTTGTTTTTATTATCACTAATTACGTTGTTATATTTCATGTGCCCTGTAACATAATTTTATCCTTGCCTTTTATATATTTGTTATTAAAAAACATGAAGGACAAAACATGTAGAATTATCAAGCATGGATACCTTATTACTAGCCCTTATACTCAAAATCTCTACTCCTCAAGAGAATTTAAATCTAGGACACTGCTCAAATGAATATTACAAAGCCTGTGTAGCATCTGGTAGTGTCCTGCAAACTTAAATTTTATGAGTGAATTACTTTCTGAATCTAATATTTTTGTCCTGGTTAATATCTACCTAGTTCCAACATGGTGTTGGAATTTTAGAACTGGAAAGGAGTTTAAAGATCATTTAGTCCTCAGTCTCTTATTTTACAGGTTAGGGAACTAACTCTGCCTTCTTAACGTGTAGATTTATAGATTAAATGTCATTCAAATATTTTAGTTTCCAGGTGAGAATATAAAGGGCCAGATTGGTGTTTCTCTTTATAAGAAATGGGAATGATGGTTCATTACTAGGAAGAGACTAGAATTTTAAAATCATAACTCATGATTTTCAAGTCCTGGAAGTTTGATCATCTTTAGGCCTGAGATTCTTACAGAGCCTTTCAGATGTCCTCTAAGCAAGACCAGATTTGAGAGTACAGTAACTCCCCTCCCCCTTATCTGCGGTTTCGCTTTCTACTGTTTCAGTTACCCGCAGTCAACTCGCTGTCTGAAAATGTTAAATGAGTACGTGGTGTGATGAAATCTCATGCCGTCCCGCTCCATCATTCACATAGCTTTTATTATAATATATTGTTACAGTTCTTCTATTTTATTATTAATTACTGTTGTTAAGCTCTTACATCGCCTGATTTATGAATTAAACTTTATCATAGGTGTGTATGTATAGGACAAAACATAGTATATATAGGGTTCGGTAGTATCTGAAGTTGCAGGCACCCACAGGGGTCTTGGAACGTATCGCTTGCAGATGAGGGGGGGAGCACCCTATATATTTTTATGCAAATAACAAGCACCTTCTATGTTTGCTTGCCAACTGTGCCCTCCCCCTTGAGCTATTTTCATAAGCGCTGCTATGCCAGTTTGTTTTACATGTTCCTGTAAAAAATATTAGCATAGTTTGCTTAACAAAATACCTCAGGGGAGGTTGGGGGAGGGCGTGGCTGGCAAACAAACATAGGAGGCGAACATTTTTAGCTAAAAATACGGTAAATGAAAAAGTTCTTCTTCCTAATACCTAAACTTAGTGTGAAGATTTATGGGGATGAATGAAATAATGTGGATTGTATGCAGATAGTTATGTATTCCATGGTGTTTAGTTATTTAAACTTATGTTTGTAATTGATAATTGCTAGAGTTCACTTTTCCTGTTATGTAGTAGGCAGTCACGAAACGTGTTCAGAGCATGAGTGTTCATGTAATTTTTCCTTTTTTTTTTTTAGGAGTTCATGTGTTACACAATTAGATCTTCTGGAAAGTGTATACAGAATGTTTCGGAGGGATGACCTACTTTCAAATACCACCCGCCAGGCATTTGTAGATCGTTCTCTCCTCACTCTGCTGTGGCATTGTTCTCCGAGTGCTTTAAGAGAATTTTTTAGCAAAATCGTGGTGGATGCCATTGATGTGTTGAAGTCCAGGTTTATAAAGGTATCACATATCTGTTATTAAATATTAATAAGAAATTGCAAATCTTCTTGACCAATGTCATTAGAAATTGTTGCATGTTTCGTCAGGTCGTCTCCACTGCTCAAGGAGCATTAGCTCTACATTTTGATAACAATATATGGCTGTGTGGGATCTGTATTACTTTCTTGAGGTGGCTTTAAAAAATTACCTCAGTCTTGGTGGCTTAAAACAAATTTATTCTCTCAGAGTCCTGGAGGCCAGAAGTCTGAAATCCGTTTCACTGCCAAAGTTACAGTGTTGCCAGGGCCACACTTGCTCCAGAGCCTCTCGCAGAGAATTCATTCCTTTCCTCTTTCGTCTTCTGGTGGCTGCCGCCATTCCTTGGCTTGTGGCTGCATCACTCCAGTCTTCGCCTCCACTGTCACGTTGCCTCTTCCTTTTCTGTCTGTCTTATATCCATCTCTTTCATAAGGTTACATGTAGCTGCGTTTAGGACCCACCTGGATAATCCAGGATTATCTCAAGAGCCTTAATCACATCTGTAAAATTTTTTTGCCATATAAGGTAACATTCACAGGTTCCAGGGATTAGGACATGGATATCTTTTGGCGAGACCATTAATTCAGCCTATCACCTTTTGGGAAATATTGTACTATCCAGATGGCATATTGTTCATGTAGACTTCAAAATAGTTGACGATGCTGGTTTTTAATATGTTGAATTTTCACCTGTTGTTGCCATCCTTTTAATAAGATTTTGTGCAAAGGTCTTCAATACATATACACCCTTGATCTAGGCTCACTATTTGGACATTTTGTATTATTTACTGCTGCTGAGTTACCCAATGTAGCATGTCAATGCTTCTGTCTACCTTTGACCCTGGACAATTGCCTGTCTTTTATTGAAGTGATTTTGTATCTTTTGACTGTTAAAATTATTTTATTTCTAAAAGGCATTGAGTATTAAATTTGATATGTTTAATAAAGTATTTGTCATGTTTTATAAGACCAAAGATAATTATTTGTTACCTTTTCTTAGCTAAATGAATCTACTTTTGATACTCAAATCACCAAGAAGATGGGCTATTATAAGATGCTAGACGTGATGTATTCTCGTCTTCCAAAACATGATGTTCACTCTAAGGAATCAAAAATCAATCAAGTTTTCCATGGTTCGGGTATTACTGAAGGAAGTGAACTTACAAAGTCACTTATTAAGTAAGACTTTACTTAATTTTGGATTGTATTTGATTTGTTAATTTTTTTTTAAAGAAGTCTTTTTTTAATGTTAAATGAATATTGTTAGTTTTCAAGATCTTTGCAGTAAGCTACTTAGTTGATTGTATACCTTTGGTCCAAAGAACTAGAAGCCATACCAAAAAGCCTTGACTGAGATTCCTTTCTTCATTAGACAGGAGGCAGGTGCAGGGAGAATATTCTCCTTTTTTGATGAGACCCACTTTATATCTCTCATAAAATTCACAGACATTGCAACTGCTTAACACAAGCAAGGATCCAAAGTTACCAATAACTTCTGCCACTGAACACATGGAAATATCTTTTTTCTTTTTCCTGACACCTTAAGATTGGAGGATTACATTATGAGGTCAAACTTAATATACTAGCTCTGGAGAAAGACTCCTGAAATTAGACCGTCAAAGAGGGGCGCTCTTTCAAGGGGTTTACAGCAGCTTCTGAGTCTTAGCCAAGCTGGAGACAAGCTGGCAACATCTGCAGACGCCTGGGAGGAGGATCCTCTCTGTGCCATCCATTGAGCTGATTGATCTCTGGGAGCCTCCAGCTGAAACAGTTTGTTAGAGCAGTAGATTAAGCTCCTGGCAGTGTCATAGCTCATTTGCATTTGCCTCCAAGTTGGCCTCTGTTTAACCCAGAACTTTTACTCTGGCTACTGTAGAGCATGAACTTTGATATTAGACAGACCTGGGTTTGAGTCCTGGGTAACCAAGCCAGCCAGTTGCCCTAGGGGTTTTGTTTTGTTTTTGTTTTTTTTTTGGTTTGTAATTTTTATTTTACGATCAAGATTAAACAAGAAATCCTTAAGTAGAATCTCAGTGAATCTTAATTTCAATTTCTTCGCCCTTCCCACATCTGATTAGTTTCTAGGTTTTCAGTTTTGTTTTGTACCTCCTCTTTAAATCTGTTCTTTTTTTCTCTTTCCACTGACTTAGTGTACCCTTTACTCTTTCATAGACCAATTATCATAGCTTCCTAATTCAATTACCCTGCTTCCTCTCTCTCTCTTTTTTAAGTAATAGTTTATTGAGTTTTAGGTGACAGCTTGCACGGCAAATTAGGTTCCCCTTTAGCATTTTTTATACCAATTGTTCCGTGACATTGGTTACAATTTTTACAATGTGTTAGCATTCTCATTATTTCTACTTTATTTGTTCTGTTTCCATTGATGTAGCTTCCCTTCGCCTCCTTACCTTCTCATCTTTGCTTTTGGGTAAATGTTGACCGTTTGGTCTCATATACTTGATTGTTTAAGGGAGCACATTACTCATGGGTGATATCATTTTATAAGCCAATTTATTATTTGGCTAAATGATTTATTAATATTTTTCATGCACATAAATTTATGTGTGTATAATATGAATAAATGTTTTATTTAAATACTGAAACACCCAGGCTCTTGCAGTTCCCGGCACACCACCTGTTGTCGCCAAACTCTTCTCCCTGCTTGTAAGGTCCTCATACCAGGTTTCTTTTGGCTGACCTACGACTCAAAATTTAGCTCTTATATTTTCTCCTAAAACCTGCCTTTTCTTGGCTTGTTAGACCGGGCTATTATCCTTCTTCCTGTGTCAATATCTCTACTTATCTCACTGTCTCTGCACCTCACCTCTGTGTGGTGAGGTCCACAATCACTGCCTTTGCCACAAGAGGGTGAGTGGGTATGGTCGTGAGCTCACCTTGTGCTCCCTCCCAGTGCAGTCCCTCAGTGTGAGGTTCTCTTTCTGGTGGTGTTGGGCTCAAGCAGCGAGCTACACATTTGACAAATTAATTTTATCCTGAATTTACTCTGCAGATTGTGCTATGATGCATTTACAGAGAACATGGCAGGGGAGAGTCAGCTGCTGGAGAGGAGAAGACTTTATCACTGTGCTGCATACAACTGTGCCATTTCTCTTATCTGCTGTGTCTTCAGTGAATTAAAATTCTACCAAGGTTTTCTGTTCAGTGAAAAACCAGAAAAGGTAGACCTCTCCTGGATAGTTCACTATTGCTTTCATTGTAGGATTGAGAAGTAGGCTGTACCACCTTTAGATTACACCAACTAAAGTTATGGTATAATATGTGGTATGTATGTGTGTGTACATACGTGTGGTATGTATGTGTGTGTACATACATATGGATGTATGTGTGTGTACATACATGTGGTATGTATGTGTGTGTACATACATATGGATGTATGTGTGTGTACATACATATGGATATATGTGTGTGTATGTGTGTGTGTGTGTATATATATATATATAT